TTATCTGTGATTTCTAACTTCTTTGTCATTAGTTCTGGTACGATCACATGCTTCCAAAACTTTGTACTATATACAATCATCTCATTAATAAAATCAAGATTCTGTTCAATTCGAAAAAATAAAAAATTAATTGGAGTCTAGAAAATAAAATCACAATAACACACTTCCAATATGAATATTTGAAGTTGTACCTGACTAAAGTATGGATGGGTTCTTTCTAATTTAAAGCTGCTATTGTATTTTTTTACAATAAAATTGTCATTGTTTGTTGATGAAGCTAATCCAATATCTTTAAGACTGTATGGAAATTTCACCTCAATGACTCCATACCCGCAACATGAACAATGTACAACACCATCAAGAGCACACCCAACCATGGCTTTTCTTGAGAAACTACAAGTCCAAATTTTTTACTTCAAAACCATTGTGAATTGTGATCTCTGAGAGACAAAGTGATTTACTTATTTATAAGTCATCAGAGCAGACATATACATACTCAGCCAAAGCAAATTCTCCTTTTTCTCTTCGCCATAATAATGAAGATGCTTTGTTTTGGAAAACGTTTTGCTTTGTAAGTTTTCTAACTAAAGATTTTGGTGAATTTTGAACACATGCTTTCAAAACATCATTAATAACAGAGCTAGTTATTCGACCTCTGCTTATCTCTACTCATGCCAAGAAATGGCAATGACTGATTCCTAGTAATTTCTTCGAGGTATTCCTTTTGTTTAGCGGTAATTTATATTGTATTTGTAAATTATATTGTCGTCTTGATATTGAACATATGGCCATTCAGTTGGGTCATCTTTCCAAGTATCTGCAGGGAATTTACATATACATTGATCAATTCCAAGAATTTCAAGTTTATTTTTGTAACGTTCAGCGGCGCAACGATCTAATTTTTCAAAGTATTTGTAAAGAGACATTTTTTTAAAACTCTTTAACTTACTTCACGTTCGATTTCTAGTGCTTTCTTCACTCAACTGTTCATTTGTTTTACCTTTACTAAGATGGTAACCATTTACACTATCGAAATAACGCATGATCACGTGATATTCCGACTTCAAGAATATATATATATATATATATATGTATATATAAATATATACATTTTTATACATTTATAATCTATACAATATTTAAATAAAAGAAATTTGAGTTTAGTTACATTTAATAACTAAACTCAAATTTCTTTTATTTAAATATTGTATAGATTATAATTTATAGATCATAGAGTATAAAATATTGAGAATTAAAAAATATCTTTAAACGATAAATAACTAAACAAAATTAATAATATCAAAATAATCAACCAAAACAAGTAGACATTTTTAATTAACCGAGTTAGCGCATAAGATTGTATGCGCTAAGTTGATAATATTAATTTTTCTACTTATTTCTAAGGTAATTAGGACGTCTAATGTAGGTCTTAGCGGCGTCAACAGGACGTCTAAATATTTTATTTATTTATTTGTTTATTCTTTTTAACACCCAAATTACAGGTAAAAAAAACAAACTGTATAAAACTAATAGTTTATACTTTCAGTGTAAAAAATTTAAATTTTTCTTGGGATGTTTTCCTCCTTCAACTTAGTAAAAACCAGTCTTTGTTCTCTGATATTCCAGAATTCAAAAGAATGGTTCAAAATTGCCGCTATATTTTCTCCAACGTCATCGTAGCAACGTTTTACCGTTATTTTTTTCCCCTCTATCAAACACTGCACGAAGTTTAGCTCCAGTTTATTGCAAATTTTTATTACTTCGTTGATAAATAGGTTATCTTTAGTAACATCAGATACCTGAGCCAAAACCAGGGAAAAACAAGTTGGATTGTTCAGTAGTCTGATAAACAGATTTAATTGTTTCAAATGAGGATGGTAGATATGTCATCAATTTTAAAGAAGGGATGCAGGTAGTTTTTGCTGTACTTTGATATGCTAAATAGGAATTTTAATGCTGACCTTCCAACAGCGTCTAGTTTATTAAGAAGTGAATTATTATAACAACAAATTTCTAACCCGTATGATAAATTCGGTATAGCCAGTGATTTAAACAAGTGTATTATGGTTAATGGTTGACAAAAACGAATATCCGATTTTATAAGAGCTCTGGATATTGATTGAAACTGAATAATACTTTCGTTTACATTTAATGTTTGAAGTGTTGCTATATTTTTTGTATTATTTTGATTATCCCATAGGAATCCGAGGTGTTTCAGTTTATTCTTGAGGTGTATGGAAAAGCCGTTTACTTGAATTGAATTTTTTGTAATTGAGCTTTTACCGGATATAATAAACTCGGTTTTTTCAGTGTTTAGTTTGATATATAGGTTTTGGCATTGTGACTGAACTTTATCAACCAATTCTTGTAAACCAGAAAGAGTAGGACTTAGTAGGATTATATCGTCTGCATAAGCTATAATACCGGTGTACACCCCACTTATCATTGTTCCAACTTTGCAATCTGAAACAATTTGATTTAATATACTTTGAGTGTATAAGTTATATAAATGTGGTGATAAAATGGATCCTTGTCGCACGCCTTGAGACTAACGGAAATGATTTGATTTATGCCCAAGGTATGATATACTAGCAGTACCCGATAGGTATAGTGATTGAAGTGCGCGAACTACTGATAGCGATAATTTTTTGTTGTAATTAAGTTTTTCAAACAACAATTCCCAGTTACAGCTATCGAAAGCCTTATTTGCATCTAAACTACAAATATATATTGATGATTTATTGTTATTGTAATATTTTATTGTTTCACTTAAAAGAAACTCTGCATGAAGAGTGGAGCTATTATGTTTGAAGCCAAATTGGTGAGAGTGGCTATCTGATATTTCCGGACATTTTTCCGTAATAATATATTCAAAGAGCTTTGTCAGAATTGGCACGATACTAATTCCGCGATAGTAATCGGGATTATCAAGAGATTTTTTATAGGATTTCACTATTGGAACAATTACAGATGTTGATAGGTAATCCATTTACTACAATTATATTTAATAGGTACTACAATTATATTTAATAAGTACTACAATATTTAATAGGTACTACAATTATAGATGTTGATAGGTATATGGAAGTCCTAATATAGTCTTTATATTAACGTCCTAACAAAGACGTTTTTACCGGACGTCTTTAGGACGTCCTGATTTGGTCTGAGACGTCGCGACCTAGTTAAGACGTCCGTAAGACGTTTGATTGACGTCTGTGCCCGCTGGGTAGCTTCTACATTGAGAAAATGAAGTTTTATCTGTCAATATTTTTTTTTAAGCTTTGGATGTTCCTTGCAAGTTTTTATACAAAACTTTACAAGCATCATTCCTACAAGAAGACCTTGTATCAAAAAAGATTTTAATGGTTCCTCTTTTTAAAGCAGTAATTCACACTAACCTACGACTTGATAACAAAGAAGAAGAATTAACAGTTCTTGAAAGAAGTTGAAAACAAACTCTTTATCTCTGCCACATTCTACAGCAAACTTTCCAATTAAATTCAATGAGTAAATTGAGTTAGAAAGATTAAAATATAATGCGCGAATTAAGAATATCAATGAGTTAGGCATAAAATGTGCTAACTCATTGATATTTTTTATTTATGCTTGTAGTCCTGAATAAATTCCAGACTTATTACAAGCGTATCATAGGATTGTCATTATAAATTTTTTTGTTAATTTTATTAGTATTTAGATATTTTAATATTTCTTTTTCTATATCTTCTGTGTTTTGTTATATATAATCAAAAAACCTCAAAAAATATTCCCCGTGGACTACATTTATTATATATCTAATAATCAGGAGTAGAATCAAAACTAATCTAGTTTTTTACTTCTTTAAGTATATGTTGTTCTTTTCGGCAATTAATTTAACAATTTCTTCAAATATGGTTGACAATAAATAGGAAGTCTTTTCGCTTCCTGGATTTCCATATTTTTCATTTCCTCTTAAAGGTAATTTTAGGTTTGTAATGTTAGTTTTTTCCTGTTAAATGCAATGTTAGGTTTTTGGGTAATGCAAGCAACTCGTTTGAGCACTTGAACACAATAATTTTTTCCTAAAGAATTTCTGTATTCAATAGTTCTCTTACATTTGGCTTAGAGTTACCTCAAAGTTGCTGCTTCAGAACTGCTTTTAACTATGGGGCGGTGCCAACCTAAGCCTTCTAGCCGCCTTCCTGCGGCGCCTAACCACGTCTCCGCCTCACATCATTGTCTGCTAATTCTTGATTTCTTTGATTTTGGTGTTCTAGTTCAGTATTATCATCATCACCTTCAACTTACTTATTTTTATTTTCAATAATAAATAATGATGTGGAAAGATCAATTTCATCTCTTAATGTAAACTCATCAATTTCAGTCATTTGAGAAATAAACTTTAGATTTGTATTATTAGTATTTAAAATTCGGTTTATAACTTTTAAAGCTCTTAGGATCAAAACTTGTCAATGTTTGAAAAAGTTCTTTATTTTTTTCATTTCTATTTTTATTGTTATTTTTAAATTATTAAGCATAACTCTAAATGTATCAACTCTGAATGCTAATATTTGACGATATGGGGCTTCATCCAATGCTTCTTTTACTCATAGTTTTTAATTATTTTAATTGTAGTTATGTATAAAGCGGTTTTTGTAATTTTGATTTTGTGGGTAGGTATATTATATAAATGGATGTAAAACTTTTGTAAGATGAGTTGAATTTAGTGCATCCAATACCGGTAGTACCGATACCGGAATACCGGCATTACCGGACTTTTTCAAGTACCGAAATACCGGTATTAAACTTCCAAAAAAAAAACCTGGAAATAGCATGAGTCCCAGGGAAAAATCAGGGATTTTTTTTGTTTTTTTTTTAATATTCAGGAAATACTCAGGGAAAATTATTTTCCATTTTTGTAAAATAATGGTTTATTAATTTATTAATAATAAATTAAGTTATGATAAAATTCATAATATATATTATCAGTAAATTTTTTTTTTTAAATTGTACATTTGATGTTAAATTTATATGGTTTGGTTACTTTCAATTCAATTAGTATAGTAGTTTCAAACCAAGAAGTACAGATATATAATTTGAATATCTCAGGGAGTTTAGATAGCTAAACTCAGGAAAGAACCTTCTTTACTCAGGAAATACTCAAGGAAAACTCAGGGCAAAACTTTTAAAATTATAGTGGCAACCCTGTATTATATATTAGCATTATGTCAGTCGCTGAGCACGTGCTTGTGTTTGCACTAACGCAATGAATGAAAAGTTTGAAGTCGTTACCGCTGATTTCTATAATGGAAATTCTTATATTTTTTATATTTCCTATTCACAAAGCGTATCCGCGTGCGCTTGGTTAAAATAGTAAACATTCCTGGAATGGAATAACCGCTGATTTCTATAATGAAATTTCCATTATAGAAATACCGCTTCCATTATAGAATAACCGCTGATTTCTACAATGGAATTTCCATTATAGAAATCAGCGATTATTCCATTCCATTCCAGGAATGTTTACTATTTTAACCATGCGCACGTGGAACGCTTTGTGAATAGGAAATATAAAAAACTAATGCAAACTGAATGCAAATAGAAAATTACTATAAGAAAATTGAAACTTCAGATAACTTTTATTAAAAAAAAAAATTGCGCGAATTCAATTAAGAACTAATAATCAATATTTCATTTCTTATGAATTCATTTACTTTAAAGTCAAGAAACATATGAAGTGTCCCAAAAGGTATTCGAAGAGTTCAGTACCGGCGTACGAAATGACGAAAATTCTGTGTAGTTTTATTTTCTACGTGGTAAAGAAAATCAACTTGCAAAGTGTAAGAAATGCAGCAAAGAGATAAAATCAAATGGTGGCAGTACCAGTGGACTGCATACACATCTAAGAACTAACCATAAAATTGACTTACTGAAAAGAAAATTGGTCCAAGAGACAGCATCGACATCGGTTTCGTTTTCATTGGCACCGTTGCCAACGGCTAAAAAACCCAAACCTCAGATCACCGACTTCTTACAAAATCAACACGACAATTCCTTGCCTGCAATTTTTTCTAGATTGACTGCCCTTGATGGACTACCTTTTAGCGTATTTGTCACGTCAGCAGAGCTGAAAACATTGCTACAAGCTCGTGGGTTTGTTGTTCCAAAATCGGCGACGACAATTCGCAATATGGTAGTTAAATACGCAGACACGATCAAAGAAACTGTAATATCCAAGTTTAGAAACCTCCGATCACAAGGGATGCGATTCAGTTTGACATTTGACAAATGGACATCAATTAAAAACCGCAGATATTTAAATGTAAACGTTCACACCGAGGACAAATTTTGGAGCCTTGGATTAGCTAGAGTTGTTGGTTTTCTGCCTGCAGAAAAATGCATTGATTTAGTTCAAAAAGTATTGACACAGTTTATGCTGAACTATGATAAAGACATCGTGTGTATTACTACTGATAGAGCTTCCGTAATGCAGAAGGTGGGGCGTTTGAGTAATTGTGAACAACAGTTGTGCATTGTGCATGGCATACAACTGGGTGTTCAAGAAGTTTTGTACAAAAAACCGTCAACTTGTGCAAAAAGAAGCTTGAAAGTAATCTGCAATTACAACAACATCAGTAAAAGTGATGAGGATATTAGCACTGACGATGATACAAACAAAACCAATGACGACGAAGAAGACTTTTCCGGCGGGTTTCAAGTTAACTTGAAACCCGCCGGAAAAAACAACTAGTTGTAATGAGTGAAAAAGATGACCTTATTGAAATGACTGATGAACTGCAGCCGTTAATCACTAAGGTGCGCACCGTTGTAAAATTGTTTCGCTGTTCTCCGACAAAAAAATGATCAAACACTTCAAAAATACACAGTAGAGGAATTTGGTAAAGGCCTTTCGTTGATACTTGACTCTAAAACTCGCTGGAGTAGCTTACACACAATGCTCGAACGTTTTGCGAAATTGAAAAACTGCATTCGCAAGTCGCTGATTGACCTTGAATCCAAAATTGAAATAACTGATAAGGAGTTCAATTCAATTTTAGATGTTGTTTCCTGTCTTGCGCCAGTAAAGTTGGCTGTGGAAGCATTGTGTCGAAATGATGCAACACTGTTATCAGCCGATGCAACACTAATGTTCATGATAAATAACATTGGAGACACAGATTTAGCTGTTAAGTTAAAAGCTACTTTAGTGCGACGAATCAATGAGCGACGTACAACTTTTTCCAGCTTACTGCACTATCTGCACAAGGGCCATCAATGTTACGAAAATTTGGATCCAGCGCTATCTTTCGAACACCTTAGCAAATCGGCCATTGTAAATATTATTGCTCGACTGAATAATCGGCTCAGTCAGCGAGCTTATAATCCTTCCATCAGCGTATCTTCTGATAGCGATTCTGTTGACAACACTGCAAACTTGTCATTGAAAGAAAAGCTTGACATGACAATTTTAAATAATAAGAAATGTAACAATAAGGAAAGAATGAACGTTTTGAATAATTTATCAAAAACCATACGCAATGAGATGGTAGTTTTCGAAGATGAAGGAACTCGCGGTGTATATTTGCAAAATTCATACGAATAGTTGAAAACTGTAAAGCCAACAAGTGTCGAATCGGAGCGTGGATTTTCAGCAAGTGGCAACATTGTCACAAAATTACGATCATCTCTTGAAGATGATACTCTGAATGCACTATGTTTCTTACGGGCACACTTTACAAAGGAGAAAAAAGTGAAGAATGAAAAAGTTTGTAATTTTGATATAAAATAAAATAGCATTTTGAATCAAAGTAGTTTTACTATTTACTTGAGATTTTATTCATATTATTATTTAAAATAATAAAAATAATACCGGTATTATACCGGTATTACCGGTATTGAAATAATTCAGTACTGAAATACCGGTATTGAAAAATGTTATCGGTATTGGATGCACTAGTTGAATTCAAGTTAATAAATAAATTTTTGGAAAGAAAAGAAGTTTTGTTTCGAGCGAGAAAATTACAAGTAAACCGGGTATGGATTCGAATATCAAATTATTGGATATGTTTGAAACGTTTGATGGAACATTGGACGTTGCCGTTTGGATACAGTGAACTAAAGTGATTGCAAAAATGCAAAATGTAAAGCTGAAGTCACCCTTTCCAATTCTTCTAAGAGAAACTGCTTATTTGGTATACGATGGTATAAACGCTGAAAATAAGCAAGACGAAGAAGAAATTGAGCGTGTTTTGTTAGCAGCATTCTCTTTAGATGCTTTTACGGTATACGAACTTTTTGTTAAACGAAAATTAAATGTTGGAGAGAAAGTTTATGTGTTTTTGGCCGACTTAAAACGATTGGCTTATCTTGCTAAATTGTCAGAAGAGTCTATTTGATTAGCGTTTGTTGTTGGATTGCCCGAAGATTTATCGTCAAGATTTTGAACTGTTATGGATCCAATCGATGTTATGTTACCCAAAGTAAGAGCTGCTTTGAATCGTGTATGCGTAGATGATGCTGTTGGCGTTGTTTTTCGAAATCAAGCCACAAAAGTTTTGTTAGTGTGTTACAACTGCAAAAGGGTAAATCATATTGCGAGAAACTGTCCTTTTGCAAAGAATCTGGCTCCGAAGAATTTTTTTCAATGTTTTAAAATGAAGGAAACGTGGCTGCAAAATGCTTAAACAATGGTGGAATTAGCGCATTATCTATTATTCATCTAAAAGTTAATGGTTTGTTAGCGACAGCTATGGTAGACACGGGTTGTTCAAAGACAATTATACATCAAAAACTGTTGTCAAGAAAGCAAATCTAAATCCCAGAATCTTCCAAAGGTAGTAACTTTTGGCAGTAAATTTCAATGTAATGGATTAGTGGCTGTCACTACTAAGGTTGATGGTATTCAAATACAAGACGAAGTTATTTTAGTGGATTTTCAATCGTTTGGAGTTGATATGATGCTGGGAATGAGTTCCATTAAATTACTAGGAGGAGTTTTTATTTCCACGTCTGGAATAGCAAAGTTTGGTTTCGGCTTGTGTGAAATAGGAGTCTCAAAAAAAGATAAAGTCAATAAAATTGAAATTAAAAAGCAAGATCATGAAGCAATATTTAATGGTGTTGAATGGGAAGTTAAATGGAAATGGAGAGATGGAGAAGGCCCCAACCAGTTGGTTAACAAACTTGCCCAATACATATATGCAAGAGCAGAATTTGAAAACGAACTACGGGATTGGATCAATCGTAAATGGTTAATTGAATGTGACGAAAATAAGATGGGACCACCCAAAGGGCGATTTCCCTGAATGGCTGTTATCCAACAAAATAAAGATAATAAAGTCAGACCCGTTTTGGACTGGAGAGAAGCTAACAGTTTTATTGAAACGTATAAAAGAGATGCAGATGTGTGTGTTAAGAAGCTGAGGAAATGGAGAAGAATTGGAAAGAAACAAGCTATTATTGATTTACGTAAGGCATATCTCCAATTAAAAACTGAAGAGCCTCTTTGGCCATTCTAAACAGTGGTTTTTCAAACCAAAAGGTATTGTTTGACTCGGCTTGGTTTTGGATTAAACGTTGCTCCAATGATCATGAAATCTGTTGTGAGTGCCATTATTGATCAAGATGAATTGGTGAAGAGAGGAGCATCCGCTTACGTGGACGATATTTTTGCCAATTAGGAAGTAGTGAGTCTTGATTATGTCAAAGACATTTTGAAAAATATGGTTTAGAGAGTAAAGAAAGTGAACAGATTGGATGTAATGGGGTTCGTATTTTGGGATTACGTGTGTACAAGGTTGGTGGCAAGTTGACCTGGTCCAGGGAGAATCAAGTTGACGCAATAAAAAAAAAGTTAAGTAGAAGAATAGTGTTTTCTGTTTGTGGGCAATTGGTAGGTCAATTACCAGTATGTGGTTGGTTACGTGCAGTTTGTAGTCTTTTGAAAAGAAGAGTGGTTAGTTTGACGAAGGGTTGGGACGATGAAGTTTGTGATGAAAATTTAAAGCGTGTACTTCAAGAGGTATATGATGAGGTAGCAAATTGCGATCCAGCTTATGGTGATTGGGCTGTACATGGTAACGAGGGTATGTGTGGGTTGATGCAAGTTCTTCGGCATATGGTGTGGTTATTCAAGTTGGTAAAACTACTGTAGAAGATGCAACATGGCTACGAAAAGAAATGTCTGAGGATCACATAAACATGGCGGAGCTGGATGCTGTAATGCGTGGAATGAATATGGCTTAGACGTGGAAATTAAAGAAAGTAACTATCTTTACAGATTCCGTGACAGTGTTTCACTGGGTCTCTGACGCTCTCACTGGTAAGTCAAGATTGAAATCAAAAGCAATGGTAGAAATGTTGATTCGAAGAAGATTAAGCTTTCTGCAACAATGTATTGAAGAATATGGTATTAATGTAAATGTAAAACTTGTTCCTTCAAAAGACAACTTAGCTGACGCATTGACTATAGTTCGAAGTAGATGGTTGAATAAATTGACGGAGGCTAAGCATTCGAGTAATTTCGTTGGAGCAGCATTTTTAGAAGCTGAATCTATTTCTAGCATACACAAGAGAACTGGACACTTTGGAGTGAATGGCACTCTAAACTTTGTTCGTAAAGTAATTCCAACCGCTACCGAAAATGACGTTAGAGAAGTAATTAAAAATTGCCAACCATGTCAGTCAATAGATCCAGCACCTGTACAATGGGAGAAAGGAAAATTGAGCGTTAAAGAAAATTGGGAAAGAATGGCCATGGATATCACGCATTTTAACACAGAAAATTTTTAACTCTGATTGATTGCGGACCTTCAAGATACGCACTGTGGCGACAACTTTCAAGTTGATACGGAAGTATTGCCATTACTCGAATACTCCGCTTTTTCTTTTGAGAGCGAGGAGCGCCATCTGAAATTTTGACAGATAACAAAACAGCTTTTAAAACGGAGGAGTTGAGACGTTTTCTTGATGGTTGGGGAGTGCGCATTAGGTTTCGAGCTGCTTATTATCCCAAAGGAAATGGAATTGTGGAAAGAAATTATCGTACAATTAAGAGAATTGCAGAAAGATCAAAAATGTCAATACCGGAAGCAGTGTATTGGTACAACGTCTCAGCTAACAAAAACAATGCCAGCTTGATGGAGAAAATATACAGATATCGAGGTGATGTGAAAGGATTGAGAAAAGATAATCTTCCGACAAAAGCTGACTCAAATGAATTGTTTAAAAATGGTGATTATGTATGGTTGAAAACTTTAAATGCAAAGTGCCATACTAAGTGGCAGCCAGCAAAACTAACGGGAAATATTTCGAAACAAGTTCTCGAAGTTAATGGCGTTCTGCGTCACGTAAAACATACCCGATATCGAAATAACATTCAACCATGCGATATTCCTAAAGTGAACGCAGACAGTGGTCGAGATAACGCGGCAAACCATGGTGAGCAAAATAAAAATGTGTTGGAGACAAGCAAAAGAGACGTGTTACAAGGAAATGGTGAAGCCGAAAATGAATTTCAAGAAACAGTGCCTTTGCCACGAAGTACAGGAGAACGACGCATGCCCCAAATTACGACGATTATTATTTGTATGATTGGTAAGAACCAAGGAGAAGTGTAAATAAAGTGGAGAAAAGTTCTAGAACATTCTACGCCAATTACGTTGTTTGTTTTACTTATAGTTTTTAATTATTTTAGTTGTAGTTATGTATTAAGCGGTTTTTGTAATGTTGATTTTGTGGGTAGATATATTATATAAATGGATGTAAAACTTTTGTAAGATGAGTTGAATTCAAGTTAATAAAGAAACTTTTGGAAAGAAAAGAAGTTTTGTTTCGAGCGAGAAAATTACGCAATACAAAGTATGACATTTCACAATTATGATTGTATAACGGTACGTTGTTGCAAATAAAAAATCCAACTTAAACATTAGTAATAATAGTCCAACAAAAACAGTTAGTAAACTTTTGCCCTGGTTGTAAAATAAAATAAAATATTGCATATAATTTGAACTGAAAGTTCAGTTCATCTTGAACTGAACTATAGTTGTTTGAACAGATTTTTAAAGATATTGAAAATAAATAGAAAATTAAAAATGGCTAAAATGACCATAAAGCTATTTAACTTGTGTATCTTTTTACATAAGAATGCAATATTTAAAATGTTTGACTGCAAAAAAGAATGGTTGAATACAAACGTGTGTAAAAATAAACGAAGAAAATAAAAACTAAAAATTGAAGTGTGCGAATATAATGTCAATGGAAATTAAAACTAAAAAATAGGAAAATGTGATATAGATTGGAGATATATTCAAGCTATATCGTTTGATACTACAAGCACCCTAACCACCATTAACACTAAAAAAAATTTATACATATATATTTATATATAAGCATTTCTAGATTCAGACCTTGAAATACCATGTTGGTTGTATAAATTCATGCAAAGCTCTAAATAATCAAAGTTTGTAGTATAAGCATTTACGTCATTATTTCAGTAAATAAAAAAAACCCGTTTAATATTGTTTTATTAGAAAACAATATAAAAATGTAAACGTATTGTAACTATGAAAAGGTCTAGGTATTTCTGTTAGTAATGAGCATATCAATTAGTTGTGATACCTTATTGTAAAACTATTACACCTTATTGTTGAGTATTGACGAAGCTATTCTCATATACATAAAATAAAGCTTTTTATAGTAAACACAAAACATTGCTATCATATTGTAAAAATATTGTTAAGAATTCAATCAACAAAAAAAAAAAAATTGGTTCAAACTTTGAACCATTATAAGTGGTATGATTAATTCAGTGTGCATTATACAAAAGTAAAAAGCTAGATAGTTCCTAAATGTCTAGAAGTAAAAAAAGGGTGTACTTTGTTTACTTAAAAAAGACAAACTGTTCTAAAATTTATGCCAATCAGTTGAATACAAAAATCGTGTGTACAATTATTTATAAACAAAATGACATACCATTGTTAAAATTAACAATACGCAAAGACTGGACTAATCAAATAAGGCTTTCGCAAAACAACTTTATATATATATACATACATACATATATATATATATATATATATATATATATATATATATATATATATATATATATACATATATATATATGTATATATATATATATATATATATATATATATATATATATATATATATATATATATATATATATATATATTTATATATATATATATATATATATATATATATATATATATATATATATATATATATATATATATATATATATATATATATATATATATATATACACATGTATATATATACATATATGTATACATATACACACACATATATATATATATATATATATTTATTTATTTAAAAAAAGTAATAACCTTAAGTATTTGATGAATTAGTATTTGTAATTGTGATACCTTTACATAATATTAAATTTTATATAAAAATATGGTGTTCCAACTAATCATAAGTAACTTTCTATTAAGATTCTAATCTACAAATTAATATCGATACGTATATGTATATATATATATATATATATATATATATATATATATATATATATATATATATATATATATATATATATATATATATATATATATATATATATATATATATATATATATATATATATATATATATATATATATATATATATATGTATATAATATAATATATATATATATATATACATATATATATATATATATATATATATATATATATATATATATATATATATATATATATATATATATACATATATATATATATACATATATATATATATATATATATATATATATATATATATATATATATATATATATATATATATACACATACATATATATTTTTGTGCATGTATGTATATGTATGTATTTATATATGTATAAACACACAAACACACTCGCGCATACATGCATATATACAGACAAAGTAAATAGCGCCATTTTTCTTTGCACTTTTGAATTTAAACTGTCATGTAAATCTGGAGTGTGTCACTTTATTTTTAATTATAGTTTTATTTGCAAACCTTGTAAGGTTACACATCGCAAGAACTTTTAACCATTACTTGCTCTTTTGCGGAACTCCATTATTTAAATAAACTTCTTTAATTGCAATGATCTATTCTTACATTTTATTATTTGCTGTTGTCGTCAGTCAAAACCGGTCCCAATCAATTTTTGATCGAGAAGAGAATTGGGAAAAACAACATGAAACTAAAATTAAATCTATTATTTTAAGGAAGTTGAATAAAAATTTAGAGAACCGAAAACTTAGCAATTTTAGCGAAAATTACTCGAAATTTTTTATTAAAAGATTATTGGAAGAAGAAAATAAAGAAAAGACTAAGATAGTTGTAACTGCTGAAAAAGGTATTTTTAGGTATTTGTAAATCTTTTAGTTTTTTTTTGACACTTAATTTCATTAAAACAATTTCTTTTTTAAAAAAAAAAGTTTTTTAGAACAACTTTAAAAATTAGGTAAAAAAAAACTTAAATATTTCATATAAATCAACTTTAGAAATGCAATTTATTTTAACTCATCTAAAAAAATCTGAAAAATATATTCAAAGACCAATATTTCAGATTTTTGTGTTTTTTACCTAAAGTTCAAAGTTCATAAGTTATTTTTTGGACTTTATTTTATTGTGTATCGTGTTTCCTGTATCGTGTTTCAAATATCGTGTTTTGAAAAGTTAAAATACAAAAATTAAAATTTAATTAAATAGTTTATATTAATTAAATAAATATGCTAATTTTTGTTGATGACTTTTTATTAAATGTCGTTTAAAGCACGCATAGTTTATCGCATGAAATTTAACATTTAATCATTTAAACGACTAATTCATTTATAATTTGCTTTTTTTTTTCCTTAATTTATGAAAAATTCTTTTAGAATTGGTTACTCCTCCTTTTTTTAAATATATATTGTTAAAGGGGGATTTATTATAATTGTTATTTTTTGAGCTCACTTATTTTACAAAGAGATACTTTAAAATTTTGTATTTTAAATAATAAATATAGTAAGTAGCAAGAATTTTTTATCCCCAAAAAAATTTAACTTTGGTAAAACTATGATTTGAGACCTGGTTCAATTAAACTGTCTGAATCCATCTCAAACATTAAATGCCTTACAACTGGTTTCTCAATCTCAATGGAAAATGTAATGAAAGTCCATTTTGCTGAAAATTAAATCCTTATTCTTAAGTTTTGTTGTTGTTTTATTTGCCAGATTTGTTGCTGTCTCTTGATTTAAAAAATTTTGATTTAAAAAGTTTAAAGACAACTTTTTAAATCAAAACTTAATAAATAAAGTCTAGCCAAATAGTAAGTCATAGTCTAGCCAAACTTAAAACACAATATAGTATAGTATATAAACTTAAAACACAATATAGTATAGTATATAAACTTAAAACACAATATATTATGCATAGTCTAAATAATGTACCGTCTTAACATAGTCTTAATAAAATCTGCTTAAAAACTTTTAGTCAAATTAAAAAACTAAAAAACTTTTAGTTTTTTAATTTTTAATTCAACTTTTTTTGTTCGACTGAAATTTTCCGTAGATATATGTCGTCATGCTAACTATAGCATGACGTAATTACATAAAATAACTGTAACTATCAGCTAAGTTGGTTTAGATAAACTACTAAAATAATTTAAAAAAAAGATATAATCAAAAACAAAAAATGAAAATACTTGGAGTAATGTAAAACAAAAAATGAAAATACTTTGAGTAATGTAAATAAAATGTGTAATAATAATACTTACGCGTGTTGTGTCAAATGGTTAATGAATCCATCAGCAATTATAGTAAGTAAATAATTTGACATTATGTAATAGTAATATTAATATTATTATTATTATTCAGGGCCAATGATACCAAGGGAGGGGGCCGAGGGGGCACGTACCCCCTCCCCCACTTTTTTTTCTAAAGGACTTTTTTTTTTTTTTTATTCGATATAAGGGACTTTTTTTAGAAATTTTCGATTGTGCCCCTCCACTTCGAAACCCGTGTCATCGGCCCTGTTATTATATAATTATATAATAATTAAAATACAATTATCATTGTATAATAGTTATAAATAATAATAATAGTTATAAATAATAATAATAGTTATAAATAATAATAATAGTTATAAATAATAATAATAGTTATAAATAATAATAATAGTTATAAATAATAATAATAGTTATAAATAATAATAATAGTTATAAATAATAATAATAGTTATAATAAATTAAATAAAATTATCATCATCTAATAGTTATAATAATATTATTAATAATAGTATATGAAATATATATGAATAAGTAATACAATAACGTAATTCAAATTTTTGCTATCAAATTGTAAGTTTTTCTAGCTAGCAATATTCGTAATTAAACTGCGTTTTCTATCGTTACAAATGTCACTAGCTAGTCGCTAGCCAACTTCCCACCATTCAAATAAATTTTTTGTTTTACCTTTGTGATAGTTCTGGTTATTTATAAGCAATAAAAGCAATTTAATTCCAAATCATTTAAATTTATCCTTATAAATGCATTACATCGTTAATCAAATTTTATTAGTTAGTAACGTTAAGATATAATAAAATTTAATTTATTTTGTAAGGTATTTAATGAAGTTGCTTTTGCGAAACAAATACATGACTGTACTTGAAAAAAATTATAATCGGTTAGAGGCATGTCGAGAAAATATGGCGGATGAGACAACATCGTATGTTTGTCTGTATGTAAGTTTGTTCTCATTACAATATACTATGGTATAAATATCGTTGTACATTAAATATCAGAACACGGAGACTCAAAGAAGATCGTAAAATCCTGTCACTGAGAACCGTTTAACAATGCAGTAAAAATATAACCAGTTAAATAATTACAATAAATGACGTTTAGAAATAAAATTTAAATCTAACCAGGTATTTCAAAACATAAAATAACGTTTAACAACATAAAGAATATATATAAAACTAAATATTTCAAAATAAAATAATATATTCAGGAATTAAACACTTTTTTAAAAGGTATAAACTCAAAAGAACTCAAAGATATTATCAATGATATGTTTGCATCTTAATATAAAAGAAATAGACTCTATATTTAAATGACACGTTTGCATCTTAATATAGAAGACCGAGTTAGTATATTTTAATGACACGTTTGCAATAAATTAGTAAAAACACCTATTTATTTTTTTCTTCAATAAGTTGTTTCTCCATCAGTAGGTTTATGAAGATGAATCTATAGATGCAGTTTCATCTTCATAAACCACCTGTTTCCGTTTTTTTACCGTTGCTTTACATTTATCGTAATTGCTAATCAAATTCTTTGCAAAGAAGTACTCAATATTTGGTGATATAGTCAATCCGTTGAGTTCATCGTCTCTGAAATTCATCGTCTCTGAAAACGCAATGAAAGCGATCCAGCACATGGTGTTGGCAACTAATGAAGTTGGGTTTTCGCTAACCTTTCTCTTCGAACATTTTTTGCAACCGAACATCAATGTCTGTCTTCTTGTCAATATTCACATTTGTTATACTGACAACAATCATCATAATTAATCTCTACAGGTTGAATTCCTTTAACTAGGAATAACTAAACTGGCCTTTGCTCTCAGTTTTTATTTTTTACAGGTTCAGCCAGGTAAACAGGCTGTTAATATAGTTGACTGGGCTTGTTGAAATTGGTTACTAGAATATTATCAGTAGTATTGTTAAATACTAAAATAAAACAATTACTGAATATTATTAATATAAATAAATGCAAGTGCATAAATAGGCAAGATGATTATTTTTTCTACAATAAAGTTACTAGGAATTGATAAGAAAATAATTGCCAGAGAACCACTAATATGAAAAAAGCTGGAAAGGTGTGCGGGAGTGTGCAGGAGTCAAAGACAAAATATCACAATGTAAGAAATCAGAAACAATGTTGACTTTAACTGTTTTATAAAAAAAACGTTTTGCTTCTATCTTGAATGAAATTTTAGAAACTCGCAAGTTTTAGAAATACGCGACAGATTCTTCAGTTTTTCTTTCCATTATTTGTTCAGACTCTAATGAGGTAAGGAAGAACTTCGATTGTAAATGTCAGAGCGCAGACAGTAAGGTTTAGCAGACAATAAACAATCACATAAAAATACATGCTGGAACCACATTAATACAGACTTTTTCTTTTTCTTCATTTTTTACTTTAAAAAAAATATAGAGACAACAAATGCTTACCTGATTTGCCTGAATTTTTTTAAATTTACCTATAGCAAGAAAAAGGAACTCTTGAACAATTGATTGAATATATCACCAAAAAAATCAAGGATGCTCAAATCTACGGCTGCTCAAATAAAATCAAAACTAAATCTCGTATATCAAAAATTAGGCTCTAGAGACTTTTGGAAAATAAACAATAGCGTCATTAACAAAAGTAGGTCTAACATTCCATCTCTCATTCATGTGACCGGTCTTATTACCACTCCTAAGGATAAGGTAGAACTATGTGCAAAGAATTTTTCTTCTAATTCGACTTTCAAATCATATGGTCATTTTCTTCAACCCATTCCAATTAGTTGTAAAGAGATAGTTCAATTAAACATTCCTGTCATAGTTTTACAAAAGTGTTCTCCAGAACTCTCTTCAGTTCTCTCTGAACTATTTAAAAAATGCTTGACTCTTGTTTTCCTGCGTTCTGTAAAATAGCATCTATTGTTCCAATTTTTAAAAACTCAGGTGCCCATTTCGTTCCCTCCAATTATCGTCCGATTAGTCTTTAATATCTTTAAGTCTTTAACCAACAAACTTCTCGCATCCGAAGTTACTTAACAAAATTACTTTCTCAAGTAACTTACTGTCAGACAATCAGTACGGTTTTCGATCTTCTCGTTCTACGGCTGACTAACTAACTGTTGTGACTGAAAGATTTTATCGTACATTAGATGGAGGCGGAGATGCTAGAGCTATTGCTCTTGATATATTTAAAGCTTTTGACAAAGTTTGGCCTGCTGTTCAAAGGAGCTATCGTCTCTAATTCCATCAAGTAAAACTCATTCTCGTTTGACTCGTCATTCAGCAAAGTCTCATTCTTTTACTGTATCTGTCCCTGCATGTTCTAAAAACTTTTATTTTGTCTAGTTTTTTTCCCTGCTCTTCAACTCTTTAACATACATATTTATTAGCCCTCAAATGAGGTATTTGATAAAGCAAAATATATTTAAAGGAAAACTTAGTGATTTGGAAAAATCAGTTAAGCTCTCTTTAATGAAAGCTTAGCTTATTTTTTGAATCTTTAATGAAAAAAATCATTTTTTCATGAAAGATTCAATGGGAATCTTTCAAGAAAGAATATTTTAATTTTCTAGAAAATCACCGATAAAA